AGTACGTTTCTAATTTGTTTATGTGGTTCTTCTTTACTTCTTTACTATTTTATTACTTTGTATTTTATTATTATTATTATTTTGCTTGGTTTCCTTTTATTTTATTTTTTTTTTATATTTTTTATTTTTTTTTTTTGTTAAACGCACATTGCTATTTTATCGATTAACGGTTCAAGTAAGAATTGCATTCTTTATATCGCGACTGCAATTGAAGATATTATTTTCTCGAAGCGAATTGCGCTTCTTTATATCTATGTGTCGGTCTCCCGCCAATATTGTTTGTGCCGTTTTTTGTAATAAATCTTGCACATGTGTCAGCCACCGTTCATCGCAATTATTTGGCATCTGCACTAAAATTAAAATCTTTTAGATGCTTTAAGTTTATTACGAATTGAAATTCTTTTCATTGCTTTTCAATTGCACACATTTAGAACTTCTTTTTTTTGTTTTTGCTCATAATATCTGTTGGATTCCACAGTAAAAGCTTCTTTGACCAAATCAAGGCGTAGCAACAACTGGTTAATACTAGAGCATTACATACCATGAAATAATCGTTTTATGTTCACTAATCAACGGTTTGATTTGTTGATTTTCCCACAAATAAACAAATAATCATGCACAATTAACTATTATATATCCATCGTTACATGTTACCATATAAATACCGTTTTTAAAGTTTTTTTTTCAGTTTGTTAGTATGTTAGTTTCCCTATCTCCGAAATTATGACACTGTCACATATCTCCAATACAGCACACTTAATTTTTTAATTTTCAAGGAAATTTATTATTAATGATTTATTTTATTTTATTTTAGTAATAGAAATGTTTTTACAAACATTGACTGCAAAATTTTTTTGCCAAACTATCTTCTTATTCTTCTTTATTTTAGTGCTGTTATATGCCTTTCTATTTATTTCAGTTTTAGCGCTGTTAGGTAACACTTTACGTTAGAGTGGCTCAACACATAAAAGCATACTTGGGCACAAATAACGGCCCGTTGTAATAAAAAGTGCTGTTTTGGCTGTTATTATTTTTATTTTACATTACATACTTTAATTTTTTTATTGCTGTTAGCAGGTACTTTGACTGCTGTTTATTTTTATATACTTATTTCTGCTAGTTAAACACTGACGGTGTGCATGACGGTAGTGACAGAGTAAATGATTTTTCAATTTGTAGTTTATAATGAGCACAATTTCAATGTTTAACTTAATTACTTTGCTAAATGATAATAAGGGTTATAATAAGGGATAATACTTTGTATCCAACGTCCTAAACTGTAACTATCGTTTTTTAACATAGTTTCTAATATTTATTTATCGAGAAGTTAAGAAAGTATTTAAGTTAAAAATTTGATATAATTTAAAAAGTGTCCATTTTCAAGAAAGTTAGAAAGAAATATTTTGCAATGACTGTAAACTGTTTCTTAAGCATTATTCTCATAAAATAGCAAAAAATATACTTTATATTCTTTTTGTATTCTTAAAAAAATACACACATAATAATAAAAAAATAAGCATCAACCTTAGGCACGCAAATACACGCTCATATATAAACATTTTAAGTGTCCTTAAAACAAATGCACCCCAATTATGGATCTACCAAATGCTAAGCCTGTAACAACCCGCTCATATATTATAACTATAATTTTATGTGTTCACGTGTTGCATCTCCTGGGAGTTTATTAAAGAAATATAAAGCAATAAAAACTTTTTACATTTTCTTGGTAACATCGAAATCGCTTACATGCATTACCTCGTCATAGGTAGACTTCACATAGAGCTCAATATACTTATATAGCAACACGTAATAAAATATTATACATATGACTACTAGCATATAATGTAGTGATATGGGCATTATGTCCCAAATTTGGGCGGGTAACTTATGGTTTGCGTTACAACTCTCATAAACTGATACAATCAACATTTGTAATTTATTTGTAATTTGAAGCAACAATAAGCTAAGTAGATATATGAGAAATACTTATTTTTTGACAAGTTTTATTAATGCAGTTGACAGTTAGTGAATGACACTGTAAATGAGACAAAATTCAACTTAATGAGAGATGATGGGTTTTATTTTTGTCATAAAGTTTAGTAAAGTGAGATTAAAGAAAAAAATTTGTTTCTAACATAATAATATCACTGTTTTATTGTAAGGAATTTGAAAAACTTTTTAATAAGGAAATATACAGTCTGTGTATATAGGCAAATCAAAGGAAACACGATAAAAAATATAAATCAAACATTTTAAAATCTTATTTGATTCACAATATTAGGCAAAGGACTCGTATTTTTAGATTTAAATAACATATTATAATATTAATATAAACAATAATCACTGTCGTTCATAAATATTAACTTTTAAAATTTTTAAATTCATTCAGTATTAGTAATCAATCTACAAATTTAATAAATAAACATGAGTTCATAAAACTATAGACTTAGCTTAAAGCTTCCAATATCATCTTCACATCAAAATTTATCTCATAATAGGTTAGGTTAGGTTGTACCATCCATTCTAGAAAACCTCTAAGACCCATTGATTTATGGTCTTAAATCTTGTTCCTAGAGTGTTTAACCGTTCTTGTGCAGAAAACAGCTGTCAAGCAATTTTTTTTCCTGTTTTCCACAATTACAGTAGAAATAAATAAATGAGAGATTCAATATTCTAGCAAATCATATTTTTGGAATCTGTGAGCTCTCTATTTCATAAGTTCGACCTTAACTACTCCTCAGAAATCTAAAAAATTTACTAACGGACTCTGAAAATGTTTGTGAGTATACTTCTATATGTGACTTTCTATGTGACTGAGTTATTTCATTATGGATCCATCTTTTGCATAAGCTTTAAACCCTTGTGTGCTTTTGTATTGAAACATTACTCTATTAAAATAGATGCTGTTAGTTTAATTATTATTATGTATTATAAACATATTTTCAACAAATACTATTATAGGTATGAATATACCCTCACATAAAGTAGATATAAAGTGAGCTCCCTAATAAACTTTGTACATACACTACACTTCAATGTACGAATATATCCCTTCGTTATTTATTTTTTGTTTATTTATTTTATTTAATTTTGCTATATATAAAAAAGTATACTTCCTGTACAATATTAAGTTCATATACGTATAAATAAACTAAATATATTTAATCTTTGTTTATGACTTTTTACTTATTTGTTGTTTATTTAAAGGCAAACTTAACTTCATCATTTGTGTCGTTTAGCTAACATAATCCTTGGTAATTTTTGTTTTTGACATAACAATTTCATGCTCATTTCCAACAAATAGTTTGATATTTATTTTTAATATTTGACCTCACTTAAGGCTTTCCTCATAATCTCGTACCAAGTTTTTCAATTTCATACACTTTTTGCATTTATTTGCACTGTTTGAATTCCCCCTAAACCATGAGCAAACACCAAAAAACCAAGGAACCAATTGTGTTAAATGCCTTTATTGACATACACAGCACAACGTACTCGATACAAGCTTCGATACAGCCGTTCTCCTGTCAAAGGTACCCTTAGAGCATTTTTCTTAAATTGCACATCTGTCAAATCAGCAAACAAGTGATTTCCGCAAACAATTGAAAAATTGATGATATTAAACAAAACAAAACAAAACAGAACCAAGAGCAGAAACGAAGACTGGATAAATTAGAAAGAACGGGAATGAGTACAAGATGGACCTAACTTTTGGTTGAGGGTGGTTTTACCGCTAACTGTCAACAGAAACGTCAACGTCATTGTACCGCCCCTGTTGCATTTGTTTAATTTTTCAAATTGTTTTGTCTTTCGTTGTAGATTAACTACAGCAAAAAATGCTTAATAAAAAAACTTCCTCTTCAATTGTACTGCCATGATTTTTTAATAAAGTTTTTAAAGCCTAAAAAACATATTGTTTTTTGTAAACGATTTTTTATGATATCATTAAGCACTAAGAGGTTTACTATGGGGTTTTGAAGTAGAAACATAACCGCAAGTGTTAATTTTAAATTATGTGGAAAAACAACTCAAGTGAGATAGGAGCTTTGATTTTATTACTTGTAATGATGGGAATTGAAAAATAACATTAAATTAATGAAAATTATAGCAGAAAGGTTTTAGTATAATCTATATTATCTAATGGGCGGTTTAAGGAAGTTAGTGAATATTTGTGAACAAATAGATTAATAAACTTCTGTTGATTAAGAACTTTATTAGCAATTCACATAAATATTATGTCAAAGAATATCATCTTATAGATCTATTCGGGTCACAGTGCTTTTTTGCATTAAAAAATTATCATTTAGTATTATTATAGGTAAGACAAGTTTAAACTAAAGTTTGGTGTGATATTTCAAAGTACATTGGTATTCTAGGTCATACAAGCCTCTCAAAATTATTATTACCGATAAAAAATCAATTTTGTCTCTTTTACTACAGTCTAGATTATTCTCTTCTTGTTGCTTTAGATTCCTACCAACACACAATATGAATAAAGATCAGATGGAAGTATTTCACCTCGAATATTTCTATCTCATTGAGATTTTAGTCTTAGCTGTGACTTTTTGTCAAAAAAACACCAGCAATCTTGGTTTAATAAATTTATATTATTCAGTTTTTTATGCTATAAAAAGATGGACAAAAACAAGAACTTAGGTTCACATTCGATTTTGAAAAAGAATATAATTCACTATACGAATGAAGATCAGATGAAATTCGGTTACCTCGAACAGTTCGATCTTTTTAAGTAGGTAGCATAGGTTTCGATTTCTTATGGAGTAATCATGTGAAAGTCTATGATTACTAAGAAAAAGTACTTGATTTGGAATATTGTACCATTTTTATTGCTATAGTAAAGTATCATTTAATTTTAAATTACTTTGCAATAAATAAAAATCTACTTTAAATTTAAGAAATTACGAATAATATTAGTACTTGCAAAATAATTATTATTTAAACAAATACATAAATCTAATTTATTTTATTTTTTTTTCTTACAGGACACAACAAAATGACAAGAAAACGTTCGAGTCCATTGGGGCTCGAAATATTAGCATCCATTACATTGGCGCTTGTATTTTTACCCTTGTTAACACAAGCTGGTAAGTACATTTTTATGTTATCATATATTAAATATATTAAGTTAATACCAACGCGCCTTACCTTGCACTTACTATAGTATAAATTGAAAAGACAAGAAACGTGCTACTACTATACTTTACTATTTCCCCCAATAGCATTGCGTGACTTATATGGGTATTTTATAACTATTAAAATGACAATAATTGTGGGTTTATTATAATTTAATACCAAATCTGAAAAAAAAGAAAACTTTCACTTAAAAACTCGCTTTTTATAAAGAATAATGGTGCTAGGAAAAAATTAGGCAATAAAAGCAACCACTCAGTAGAATTTTTGTACCATAACACGTACTACAGATTTTTTTATCACACTATTTTTTTCTGGTATTTACTGTAGTTTTAGTTGTATAACCTTTAACCTAAACTACGGTACAAAAATTGTGGGGGTGACTTCACACTTTATTTCCTAAACAAGCATAAATTCAATCCAGACTAGCCGACATATGTGAGGGTGTCAATGTTTGTTATTTTTATGTGTAAATTAAACAGTATAGACATTAGTGTTGACCTATGCAGGGGTTTCACATAATAAATAAAATAGCAGGAAAAAAATCTATCATCAACGGTAAAAATTTTGAAAACAAACCTACTTTCATACCCTAAATATATTCACTCACCCACATTTCAGGCCGTAAAAGCGAAAAATGTAAACACTTGGCTCAACAGTCATAGACATTCTCAAGATATTCAGACTCGGTTTCATTTACGTTAATGCATGAATTTACTGTATTTTGTTTTTTAAATATCATTGACCTAATGTGTACATTGGCACATATTTGAGTTCACAACACCCACATCAGAAATTTCACTACTTTTATTATTGCTAATTTTTACAATTCGTTTGGATTTTGCACATTATTTGTTGGAAATTTGTTACGATTTTCAAAACAACGCAGAGTGACAAATTACTCTCATCTGTTGGACTTTCCATGCACCAGCAGACGAACTATACCTTTGTGTCTATATGCGGACCATATCCGGGGTCAATAAGTGCAATTTCATTTAACGCATTATTTCCGAATTCGTTACGGGGGTAAATACAGTCATTCTCAATTATACGTTTTAATTCGTTTAAGCACCAAAAGTCCGCTGCCTTGCAGTATAAAAATCCATGACAGAACAAAAATATAAATAAATTTATGCACTGCAGCGAAAATGGAGAGTAATTGCAATGCAAGAAGTGAATTAAATAGCTTAGTAAAATGAAACAATAAAATTTGGTTGCTGCTGCCACATGGATTCGAATGGATTCCCTTTATTTTATTACAAAGTTTCCTAACCCACAGAAAATTCTCCATAGTTGCAACCATCTAACCAACCGTTAGCAATCAATGACTTATGGATATAAATTTTATTAAACATCAATAAATTAATACTACAAGTTTTATTACGACAATTCTGATTGATTTGGTTAATATATATGTTAAAGAAGAAATTTTAATGACGTGAAATTTCTTGTTCGAAGTTTTGATTAAACCTTATAATATTTTTTATTTAAAATTCCGAACATACTTTCTATGCATTGAGTGCTAGATGAAAGCAATCGACACGTTCTACAAAAAAACTATAAACCACGTTCAAAAAAGAAGGACATAGATTAATTTTATTAATAAACTTTAAAGCATTTTTAGGCTTAAGTTTTCAAACAAACTCTCTATAAAGTGAAAGTCAGATAAAAGCACACATCTCGTTTTAATAAAATTGCAGACTACGTTCAATGTAGATGTATGCTCATTAATCTGTACTTTGAGAGAGGACAATTAGCTAAATAATTTGAACAACCAAGTTATTTATCCCAATTCAGAACTCTTTAAACTCGAAATCTTAGCAGCATTTTTGTATTTACTTTTAAAGACTTCTCCCACATACCTTCAACTCCTTACCTCGTCTTGAGTATAAATATAGTCTACAACGAAACCGACGAAAGAAATTATATTTTGTACAATAAATTATGTTCAATTTATGTGTTCAGCCCTCAATTCAACTCAAATGTATTAAAACATAGTGAAGAATAAATTAATAAAAATTATCAACGGCAGCAATGGCTATGCCAACATAAAATAATAATTGGCGAATAAGTGTGCCGTTAGACTTTAAAACTTTTGTGGAAAACATCGGTATATAAACCTTATACAATATTAAGAAAGTGTATTGCCTTGGTAGTGAATTTTACACACCAACTTCAAATTAATAATATGGGCAAAAGATTTCCATATAAATAGAAAATTTTTGCTAGTAATATATATATAATTTATTATCGCTTTTAGCATAATATATTGTAATATAACTTCTTTTTAGTATCAAATTAATTACCTCAAATTCCTGTGATAAAAATATTAAAATGCACTTGACCGCAAAAGCAGATATCAAAATTTTTTCCTTTCTCTGCAGCGCTCATTGTGAGGATTTTTACAGACAGCACATATAGTATCTGTTCGGTATCTATCTTCTCCATTATTGATGCCATAAAAATATAACTGCATAAACCGCATTATTATTTTCAAGAAATACTAATCAATCGAACAATTCCTTCCGCATATCATTGATTATAATGAATTATCTGCCTACATTAAATCTATGGACACACAAAACGTATTAATTTTTAATTGATTTTTTTAATACTGTTAGTTACTATATTTTGCCCCAGTGCCAAGATTTTAGTTAAATGAAAAATAACTTTTTACTTCTTAGAAAATGTATCTATTAGAATGTATCTATTATTGCAGCTTTAATGCGCGTATACAATATTTTTCTCAAGGAAGTTATTTGCAATGGCAATTTTTAAGCTTTTATAGTTCTTGCGGCTTTATAATTTCAGTTTTGTTATTTTAATACCGCAACTATTAACTTCACGAGTATATAAATATATACACATAGTATATACTGTATACTGCATGTATATAGATTTTTATTTTTCTTAAGCCACACCAGCGCATACAAATTCATCGACTTTAAATTTAATATGTATTTTTGTTTTCAAATAAAATGCGAACTGCAACATTGCCATAAACATAATCATCACCAACATCTTCAGCTACCTCAGTACCTCAGATGCATTTAGGTTTTCGTTAGATAATTGATATCCCAGTGAATTTAACAAGACTTTAAATAAAATTCCTAACGGCTTCAAGTCAATTTCAGTCAATTTCAGTCAATTCAGTCAACTCAGTCAACTCAGTTTTTGACGTGTTAACTTTCACATATATGTAAATTAAATGCGAAGCATAACTTGTAAATAAAAATCGAACACAAACAATCTTCAGAAGAATAGAGAAAAAAGTTAAACATTAACTTAAAAGATACAAAATGTAATGTATTTTATGATTCTATGCTTTTTTATGTACTTTTTTTATATGTATTTAAAGAATTTCAATTTTACTGAAATATCGGTCAGACAGCAGCGCGAGTAACCAATACACCAAAGTGGCGTGTAGTCAAAATAGAGACGCTGCTGACTATGTCAATGTTTCGGACTTCAGAGCAATGTTTGTGATATGATAACTCCCTAAACCTTAACTTGTTGACCCATTTTAATTTTATGAGTTGCTTTACGAGTAACTGCATTCTTCTATATGTGCCTGTAGTGCACTATAGTGATGATGTTGGTGTTAGCATTGCTAAGTACATGTAACATACATACGAGTATTTATACGAATACCGTGTAAATCTAGAATTACAAGAAGATTTATATAAGAAGTGCATGTAGAAGAGGAAAATATGTACAAAATTCTTAGAAATTTCATTAACACAAATGTGTCTGTCTATAAACTACGAGATTCAATATTTGTTACCTTCGTCCGCCAGCCACTTTTATTGTTATTTAACTATAGTAGTGCCAAACATTAATATCAGAGTAAAGGAATCTTTTGTCACAACTAAGAAAAAATCTCAAAGTCAAACATTTTGTAAGCATGAATGAAATTCAAACGGTGTATGAATTTTTACGCGCCTTTCTTTAAAAAAATCTGAAAAAAAGATCCAACTTCTTTTACCATTTCCAACCAAGTGCAAATGTAACTAACAAATAACTTTTAAGTACGAGTAATAAGTACGAGTATTACGTAGGCTTCAAACACATACCTTTTTTTCTGTATATAGATTATGTATTACAGATACTAACAAGAAGGTAATAATAATCACAATTTGTGGTTTTAGTTAGCATAAGCATAGCTTATGTTTAGCTTAGTATTAGAGAACCCTCTTTATGAGTTAATATTTGTAATGACTTGCTAACGTAGTTATGACTGCAGTGCATGCCCATTTTTTTTGCAAATTAAGTTTATAAAGAGGTTTTTTCGAATAGTAGTGAACTACAACAACAAAAATTTTATTTTTTATATTATTTTAATTAATTGAATTTTTGGCTGCCCAAAATGCTGTTTCGAGTATTGCCAAACACCCATCATCAGTGATCTTGGAAATATTCTTGTATTTAATTATTCGTAAATAATTATTTTTTTTTAAGACTGCAAGTACTAGGACTCGAAAGAAATTAGTTTATACAAAACATAAAAATTTATTTAATAATTTATTTAAACACTAAGGCAACAATTAAAATATCCAATCCAAATAGAAAAACACAAAAGACTCTATATAGTAACTTTTTCTCTTACGTTTTAAGAATATTTAACTAAAAGAATATTAGCAAAAAGATTTAAAACTAAATATAACAACATATATTAGATAAAAATTTTTATTTTAAACAAAAATATAAATTAAATCACTACTTCATTTGAACATCATTAATGTGTCTGTCTCATCAGCACATCAATCTTCATAAAAAATATTTATTTAATAACAAAAAAAGATAACAAAATAACAACTCAAGCTGTGCATTAAACCAAAAATAAAAATGTTTAAATTAAATAATTTAAAATTAAAATGGCAAACAATTTAATTAGTCATACAAACTAATATAGTAAGTTAAATTATGGGAAAGTCCGTTTCGAAAAGAGAATATA